TGGTGGTCTAACATAGCATGTAAGAACAGAGCTTGTGCTCTAACATAGCATGTTAGATCACAACTTGTGAACTAACATGCTATGTTAGAGCTGAAATCCACGTTCGCGAAAATCGATTTCCCGTGGGCCCGCCCCCGCCGCACCCAAGTGCGCGTGGCACGCGGAGGTCGAAAAAAATGTGTCGTGCTACGCTCCCCCTCCCCGCCCCCTCCCCCCAAGCGCCCTTACCACGCCCCCCCCCCCCAAAAGCGCCCTTAACCGGCGAAAATCGATGTTCATAGTGCTTAGGGCCTCCCCCTCACAAAGCGGTAATTTCTGCCCAACTTAAGCTCTAACATAGCACGTTCGAGCACAAGTTGAAGTCTAAGATAGCATGTCAGAGCACGACTTGTGATCTAACACAGCATGTTAGATCACAAACTGTGATATAGCATACCATGTTAGATCCAAACTTGTGGTCGAACATAGCACGTTAGATCACAACTTGAGATCTAATACGGCATGTTAGCTCAAACGTGTGATCTAACATAGCATGCTAGACCACAAGTTGCGATTTAACATGGTATGTTAGATCACATATTGCGATCTAAAGTGTTATGTTAGATCAGAAATTCTGATCTAACGTGCTATGGTAGATCAGGAATTGAGCTCTAACATAGCATACTAGAGCACAGATTTGGCTGTAGAGCACAATTTGTGCTCTAACACGGCATGTTAGAAGACAACTTGTGATCTAACATACCATGCTAGATCACTACTTGTGATACACCATGCGATACTAGATCACAAGTTGTGATATAACATAACATGTTAGATCACAAGTTGTGCTCCAACATTGTATGTAAGAACACAAGTTGTAATATAACATGCTATGTTAGATCACAAACTGTGATCTAACATACCATGGTCGATCACAACTTGTGATCTAAAATACCGTGTTAGATCGCAAATTGTGGTCAAACATGCTATGTCAGATCCCACGTGTGATCTAACACAGCATATTAGACCACAATTTGCGATCTAACATGGCATAATCGATCACACATTGCGATCTAACATGCTATGTTAAATCAGAAAGTGTGACCTAACGTGCCATGGCAGATCAGATATTGAGATCTAACATAGCATACTAGAGCACAGATTTGGCTGTAGAGCACAATGTGTGCTTTAACATGGCATGTGAGAGGACACATTGTGATCTAACATACCATGTTAGATCACAATTTGTGATCTTACATGCTATGGTAGGTCACAACTTGTGATCTAACAGAGCATGTTAAATCACAATTTGGGATGTAGAGCACAATTTCTGCTCTAACATGGCATGTTAGAGCACACTTTCTGCTCTAACATAGCATGTTAGATCACAAGTTGTGATCTCACATGGTACGTTACATCACAAATGTGCTCTAACATGCTATGTTAGATCACATATTGTGATCTAGCATAGGATGTTAGCGCACAAGTTGTGATCTAACATGGTATGTTAGATCACCATTTGTAATCTAACATACGATGTTAGATCAGAAACTGTGCTCTAACATGGCATGTTTGAGCACACATTTGGCTCTAGAGCGCAATTTCTGCTCTAATATGGCAAATTAGAGCACACATTGTAATATAACATACCATGTTAGATCACAACGTGCGATCTAACATGCCATGTTAGATCCCATTTGTGATCTAACATAGCATGTTAGATCACAAGTTGTGATCTTACATGGCATGTTAGATCACAACTTGTGATCTAACATGCGATGTTAGATCACAAGTTGTGATCTAACATGCTATGTTACATCAGAAATGGAGCTCTAACGTAGCGTGTTAGAGCTCGAATTGATGTTCGGAGGGCCCGCCCCCGCCACCCCCAAGGGCGCGTGGCATGCGGAGCACGCACAAAAATTGTCGCGTGCTACGCCCCCCCCTCCCCCAAAGCGCCCTTAACCGCCGAAAACCGATTTTCGCAGTGCTAAGGGCCTCCCCCCCCCAAAAAAAACGCCCTTAACCGGCGAAAATCGATTTTCGCAGTGCTAAGGGCCTCCCCCCCCTCAAAAAAAAAAGCGCTTTGAACCGCCGAAAATCTCGCCCCCCCCCAAAAAAACCTAACCGCCGAAAATCGATTTTCGCAGTGCTAAGGGCTCCCCCCCCCCCCCAAGCACCCCTAACCGCCGGAAATCGATTTTCGCAGTGCTACGACCCTCCCCCCTCCCCCTCCCAAAAGCGCCCTAAATCGCCGAAAATCGATTTCCGCTGCTTAAGACAACCCCCAAAAATGGGGGTCTTAACCAATCCGAAATCGACTTCGGACTGGTTAAGACCCCCCTTTTCGATGGTTGAGGCCTCCCCCCCCAAAAAGCGCCCTTAACCGGCGAAAAGGGGGGTCTTAACCAGTCCGAAATCGATTTCGGACTGGTTAAGACTCCCTCCATTTTGGGGGGGGTCTTAACCAGCGGAAATCGATTTTCGGCGGTTCAAAGCGCTTTGGAGGGGGGGGGAGGACCTCAGCACTGCGAAAATCGACTTTCGCCGGTTAAGGGTGCTTTTTTGGGGGGGTGGGGGGAGGCCCTTAGCACTGCGAAAATCTATTTTCGGCGGTTAAAATCGCTTTGGGGGGAGGGGGGGGGGGGGGCCGTAACCAGCGAAGATCGATTTTCGCCTGTTAAAAGCGCTTTTTTTGGGGGGGGCCTTAACCAGCGAAAATCGATTTTCGCCGGTTAAAAAGCTTTGGGGGGGGGGCCTTAACCAGCGAAAATCGATGTTCGCCGGTTAAGGGCGCTTTTTTTTTTGGGGGGGGGGAGGCCCTTAGCACTTAGAAAATGTATTTTCGGCGGTTAGGGCGCTTTGGGGGGGGGGGGGGAAGCCTGCGAAAATCGATACTCGCCGGTTAAAGGCGCTTTGGGGGGGGGGGGGCCCTGAGCACTATGAAAATCGATTTTCGCTGGTTAAGGGCGCTTTGGGAGGGGAAGGGCGTGGTAAGGGCGCTTGGGGGGAGGGGAGGGGGAGGGAGAGCGCAACACGACACATTTTGTTCGATTTCCGCGTGCCACGCGCACTTGGGTGCGGCGTTGGCGGGCCCATGGGAACTTTATGTTCGCGAACATCGATCTCAGCTCTAACATAACAAGTTAGCTCACACGTTGTGATATAACATGCTATGTTAGAGCACAAGTTCTGTTATTACATGCTATTATAGATCACAAGTTGTGATCTAACATGGTATGTTAGATCACAACTTGTGCTCTAACATGCCATGTTAGAGCAGAAAGTGTGCTCTACAGCCAAATTTGTGATCTGACATGCTATGTCAGATCACAATTTATGATCTAACATGGCATGTCAGATCAGAAGTTGTGCTCTAACATGCCATGTTAGAGCAGAAAGTGTGCTCTAGCATGGCATGTTAGAGCAGGAATTGGGCTCTACAGCCAAAGTTGTGATCTAATATGGTATGTTAGATCACAAATGGGATCTAACATGGCATGTTAGATCGCACGTTGTGCTCTAACATGGTATGTTAGATCAGAATGTGTGCTCTAACTTGCCATGTTAGAGCAGAAATTGCGCTCTAGAACCAAATTTGCGCTCTAACATGCCATGTTAGAGCACAAGTTCAACACAGCATGTTAGATTACAAAGTGTGATCTAACACGCCATATTAGATCACAAATTGTGCTCGAATATCCTATGTTAGATCACAAATTGTGATCGACCATAGCATGTTAGATCACACATGGGATCTAACATGGTATGTTAGACCAGAATGTGTGCTCTAACTTGCCATGTTAGGGCAGACATTGCGCTCTAGAGCCAACTTTGTGCTCTAACATGCCATGTTAGAGCACAATTGCTGATCTAATATGGCATGTTAGATCACACTTTGTGATCTAATACACCATGTTAGATCACAACTTGTGGCCCGCATGCCCCATCCTACGCTCCTTCAACACCCAGCACAACCCACAAGCACAACACCCCAGCACAACCCCCCACGCAGCCTCACAACCCCTGGCACTGCCTCTCAGCACAACCCCCAGCACAAACCCCCAAGGACAACCCCCCTGCACATCCCCCCGCGCAGCCTCACAACCCCTAGCACTACCTCTCAGCACAAACCCCCAGCACAACCCCCAAGCACAACCCCCCAGCACAAACCCCCCACGCAGCCTCACAACCCCTAGCACTACCTCTCAGCACAACCCCCAGCAGCCAAAGTTGTGCTCTACCGCCAAATTTGTGCTCTAACATCCTATGTTAGATCACGCATGGGATCTAACATGGCATGTGAGATCGCACGTTGTGATCTACCATGGCATGTTAGATCAGAATGTGTGCTCTAACTTGCCATGTTCGAACAGAAATTGCGCTCTAGAGCCAAATGTGTGCTCTGACATGCCATGTTAGAGCACAATTTCTGATCTAACATAGCATGTTAGATCACAACTTGTGATCTAACATACCATGCTAGATCACCACTCTCCCTCTGTCTCTCAACGTGCAACGGACGTTGATGATGATGATAGATTCGATTGTCGTTCATCGAAGGATCATCAACATCATCGTCAGCTCCATCATCATCATCATCATCATCATCATCATCATCAGCAGCATCATCATCATCATCATCATCATCATCATCATCATCATCATCATCATCATCATCATCATCATCATCATCATCATCATCATCATCATTGCATCATCACTATCACCATCACCATCATCATCACCACCTTGCATGACCATTACGATAATCCGCATCGCCATCATCACTACGATAGCCACCATCATCACCATCACCATGACCAGCACCACGGGGGGGGGGCTCAACTAACTCAACTAAAACCCGCCCTAACGACAGCCAGACAACAGCAGCAAAAACGAATGAGAATCCTCTTCGCGGAGCCTACTTCGGCCACGCACGCAGAAGACAGTGTAAGACCGTTCGGCCCCCTCCACGCTGGAGGGGGACGGGGAGGCCGAATGTCCCAGCCGGAGCGTTCCTGCCCCACGGGTCGATTGCCAAGCTGTGGCCCCAGCTCTCGCGCTTGTTACCGTCCTCATTGTGCCTTCGTGGGCGGCGCCAAGAAAGCAGGGAGTGGGATTGTCCTTCAGTCTCTGGCCAGACTCGCACCTCGCGCTTCTGACTGTTTCGACTCTCTCTCGCTCTCTCTCTCTCTCTCTCGCGCTGGCTTCCTTCTCCTGCTTCGCTGTTATCTTACGAGCGCGCATGCGAATAGCAAGCCAGGGTGATGCGGGCCACCCACCGACCGAAGACACGACGAATCTCGAAGAGACAGCGACGGATGAGTGGCCGGTCGAGGCCCAAAAGGAATGACTGATCAGGGCTGCACATCGCCGCAATCACCGTGTGCGACAAACCCAGACTCGGGGAATCGTGCGATTCAGTCTTACCTAGCCTTCCAGCGTGAGCTATGGACGCCGTCTGAATTCGGTGAAGTCCTGGATGCGAGCGGTGGGCTACAGTCCGATGTAGAAGGGGTATACTGTTCAAGCGCGCTTGAAGAGAATGCCATCGCTGAGAAAGAAAGCAACTTTGACTCCGTCGCCACGGGCGCCTCGCGCCAAATTGCTCGAAACTCAGATGCGCATGACTCGCCTGCAAGGTGCGAGAATCTCGAAACACCCCTCCCCCCCCACCCAACGACATGCTCGAGCAATGTGTGCCGCCATCTGCGGCGCGCACGCGCAAGCAATGCATGGTGCCGTGCCATTGGGCAAGGGACTGGGGCTGTCGCGGATGGCAAAGGTTCTCCAGTGCAGCCAGAATTCGCGGTCTCTGCTGACCTGTCGAAACGGAGGGGAATGCCGATGTCTCCTGTGATGCCTGCCTTCATGTGCTCAAGCCAGGTTCTTCTCATGGCCACGAGGCCACAGACACATCCATGACTACACTGTGAACGCATAGTTTCACATCATGACCTCACGCCTTGCCTTGACAAGCGTCTTGGCTAATACTTGTCCAACATCCTCACTGAATCAGCACTTCGCCGGCGGGAAACCTGGAAAGCGCGAAAGCCCAGAAGCACGAAGGGCATACATAAAGGCTCCAACAGTGTTGCCCCTATCGAGACGAAATCAGTACCGATGGGACCTGGCGCCGACCCTGCGGTGAGATGGGTCATCCGATGCCTTGCTGATCCAAGTCTGGTCGGAACCCGAGTTACAAGAACACGGCTGGGGCGTCAGAGCTACCGTGCGAAGAACTCCCGTCGAGTTCTAGCTGCCCCCTGAAAGGCCGTCACAGCTCACAAACATTCAATCCGCCAACCCCCCTCCTCCTTGCGGGGGGTGAAAAGGCGTGTGAGACATGTGGCTGCCACCCTCCCCCTTTCCCCTCCCCTGGGGTCCGAAATGCTTCGATGGGGTGGAGGGGCGACGGGCTCGCTCCCCAGCTGACGGGTCTGCTTCCCAGCAAGAAAGGCTGTTACATAGAGCTGCCTTTCGTACGGCATTTCCGGAACTGCCCAGAAACTTTGAAAAGGCGTGGAACTTAATGTACGATTTAAGGAAACCCTTTAGTCACTTGCCCAGAATAGCAGTCACGCTGCCAGGGAACGAACCCACCAAAACTGCGATGCTGATGGTATAGCTGGCTTTCAGGAACTCGTAAGAATCCCGAGGCCCCGCTGCGAATCCGAACAAGCTTTCAAGAAGCTCCTGGGGGTCTGCCATGAAGCTGCTTCAAGGCTCCGCACAGGCTCCACAAACGATTTCAAGAGACTTGAAAGAGAAACCTCCGGATACTGCGGAATCCCAAAAAAAACCTGCAAGAACTGTCAGGAGTTCAGTACACGGGTGGATCGCACAGCAGCGGAGGTAGCACGCGCGTCAATAGCGGTGGTAGTGGTAGTGGCAGTGGCAGTGGTAGTGGTCGTGGTAGTGGTAGTACTAGTGGTAGTGATGGTAATAGTCGTGGTCGTGGTCGAGTGAATGATAATGGCCGTAGCAATAATAACATCAATCCGACTGACAGCAATAAAGAAGTCAGTCGTAGCCCTCTGAGGCCCTCAAAACGGCTTTCGAGGGCTCAAAAAAAGGGGTGAAACAATTTAGGAGCACGGAGCCCCTCCCCAACGAAAAGGGTTCCTTCTTCAGAGCCCCGACTGCATGTGCAAAACACCAAAACATAACTGACGAAGGCGACGAAAGATGGATCTGCTCCCCCCTGGCCGCCCTGGCCTGCCAACCTGCGCAGCGGCTAGCACGTAGCACTGAGTCTCGATGGCGCGGCACCTCTGGGAAAGCGAGGGGTACCCATGCTGCGACAGAAGGGGTCGGGGGACAGCTGCGAACCGATGCGGACATCTGAAGATGCTTCTAGACCTGAGGCACGCTGCGAGTGTTGGACATGGCTTGTTCCTCAACAGCGGCGCGATGCGAGCCTGACGCGGCGGTGGCTGCCCCTCGAAGCGTGCCACCGAGGTTGCGTGGAACGAAACACGGGGAGGCAGCGCAGGGGAGGGGCCGCGGCCGGGCGAGCGAGACACGGGCGCTGCATGCGAGACCCCACGGCCCCTCCGGCCGCCGATGCAAGCCGCACAGCGGCGGCCCAGAGGCGAGGCGGGCGACCACGGGCGCGGGGAGGAGGACCCGGGGAGCTGGCAAGAGGCGAAGGGGGAGCGATGGAGCGGAGAGCCACAGCCCGAGGAACGCCGGCGGGGGAAGGGCACCTCGCGCGTGCGCAGGCCCCGCCGACCAGCCACAACTGGGGGAGCTGTGGTCCTTACCCCCCTGGGGGAACCCATCGCATCGACGAAATCTCGAGAGGGGTGTCGAAATCGATGGGTCCCCCAGGGAGGTAAGGACCAAAGCTCCCCCAGTTGTGGCTGGCTTGCCCCTGGCGTCCCGAGCAGTGCCCGGAGCGCTGCCCGCGCAGGGAGCCTCCGCGGGAGCCAGGAGCCGGCGCACGCAGAGCAGGGCCGCCCGAGCCGGGGCGAGGGGCCCGAGCCGCACGGGCGAGCACCAGGTGGCGCGGTCGCCGAGTCGGGCAGGAGGACGCGGTCGCCAAGTCGCCGGTCGCCGAGGACGAGGGAGAGCTGACAGCTACCAAGAGAGACATCGTGCGGCACAGGTTGAGGGGCCTGTGTTCCACCACCTCCGGCATGACTTGGAGGGGGAGGAGGAGGAGGAGGAGGAGGAGGAGGAGGAGGAGGAGGAGGAGGAGGAGGAGGAGGAGGAGGAGGTGCGGGAGGAGGTGGGGGAGCAGGAAGAGAAGGGGGAGGAGGAGGAGGCGGATGAGGAGGAGGAGGAGGAGGAGGAGGAGGAGGAGGTGGGGGAGGAGGAGGAGGAGGAGGACGAGGAGGAGGACGAGGAGGAGGAGGACGCCCTCCGCCTCCAACTTATGGTGGTGGTGGAAAACACGCCCATCACATGTGGTGCGCAAGCGGACGGGAAGCCCCGTGAGCAAAACCGCCCCCGACGCCTCCAGGCGGTGGACGCTGCGACCGTGACCTGGGGGCAGCACGGGGTGACGAAATCCGCCGATCCTGTCAGCGTGTGTGACACGTTTTTTCCGTTTGAGTCGTCGTCGCTGTCGCCGCCCTCCCACCTTCCTTCCCTGGGCCCTCCTGCGATCCAATCAGGCGAAACCAAAGAACGTCGCAATTGATTAGAAGGGAGGCCCGTCCCCTTGCATCCCTTCCCTGGCAGGAAGAGGGGTTAGCGAGGGGGGCGGCCCAGATGTGGTCATGGGGGGGATTTCCCCCTCGGGGGGTCCCCCCTTTCTGGGCAATTGGGACAGGGGGGTGGTCCCCTTGTGGACAAGGGAAACTCAGGACCCCTTCCCCCCGCCCCCTCCCCCCACCACTCTGGACAAGGGGACCCGCATAGCCCCCCCTGATGGAACCGCCCAGGAGGTACCATCTTCACTCTTACCTGCTGTTGCGGCGTGCTGCGTGTTATTCGACATGCCTCCAAAAGGCCTCAGATCTGCTCCGAGACGGCTCGATGTGGCCACGGAGCTCCCCAAGAAGTCCCCAAATAGGCCACCGACAGAGCCCAATAGGCTCCCAAAAGAGCCCCAGGAAGGACTCCAGAGCGTCAGCGTCGTCCCCCTTCAAGGTCGGCGGCATTGGCCGTAAGGCCTTCCCAATAAAACAACCAAAGCATGCATGCACTGCAACGTTGTGATCGAACAAGGGAGAGAGGGAGGAAGAAGGGAAGGGATGGGGGAAGCTGCGAGTCCGCACGGCACGGCAGTCGCATGGCGTCCGTTGCGACAGAAAATGTCACCGACGGACTGTGCTGTAAATGCGTGAGCGCTAGTTTGGCGGCGAGCCCAGGGGGGAAGTGAGAAGAGGCGGGTCTTATCAGAAGGCTCCGAAGACCCCCAGCCTTCTGAAAAGTTGTCCAAGCCTTTCCCGAAGACGCAAAAGAAAGCTTCTCAAAGGGCGCGAGGGCTTCTGAGAAGTCCCGCCGCCTTCTCCGAAGGCCTTCTCCTTCTCGCTTCCCCCCCTCGCTCGCCGCCGGTTCGTGGCAAGCCACCCTGGGGGCACGAGAACCATCGCAGGCCGGGGCAGCACGAGGACGCGGGGCTTCCCCAGACCCAATCGCTCGGGCGATGGCCGCCGCCTGTCGGCCCCGGGGAGCTGGCGAGGGAAGGAGACCCGCAGCTGGGTCCGTGCCCCTCGTGCCGGCGCGCACGCAGACCGCTCGTCGCTGGAGAGAAGCCAGCACAACAGAGGCTCCCAGAGGCTCCCAAAATGCCCCTCCTCCTCCTCCTCCTCCTCCTCTTCCTCCTCCTCCTCCTCCTCCTCCTCCTCCTCCTCCTCCTCCTCCTCATCCTCATCCTCCTCCTCCAGAAAAGCCCGCGCGCGTTGACCCAAAGTCAACTGAGAACCCTATGTGGGCGCTTTCGGAAACCTTGAACCCAAAAATGGTGTCATCTCTTGGGGGCGCATCTTTTGCTGCCGCCGCCGTCCACCCGCCTTCCGCCAGCTGCCGCCGGCGGAGGCGGCCTCGCTGTACTTCCGCCGACCCTCCGCCACCTTCCGCCGAGGAAGAGATGACAACTGCTTGGGTCCTCGAAGGCACGGCTTCTTTTGGAACGCCGCATATCCAGAACCGACACGAGTCTGACGCAAGGACTGGGTGAGCACCCCCACGTCGCCCCTGGCCTGCGACTGAGGGAGAGTGATGAATATTGGACCCGCGTGGCGTCTGCGCGCACGCCAAGACCGCATGCCGCATGATCGGATCGACAGATATTCATGCAAGACGAACAGGGGGAGCTATGTGAATGTCTGGATCGCTAGACAGAGATCATCACCAAATTACGTCGACTTCATGATTGTTTTCTGGCTACGTTCGCTTGGTGAAGAAAGGAGTAAGCGAAGGGGAGAGGGTGCCTCCACCGACAATCGTCCCACTCGCCGCGATCGGCGAGGAAGCCAAAAAAAGGCAGGGCGGTGCGAATTCAATCCGAGGCCGTACAGGTGGTTACGGGGAGGAGCAGGGGAGGAAGAAGAGAAGAGAAAAGACCCAAGGAAGTACGATGATGCCCTGATCATGCCATACGAGGGCGGCACAAGCCCGATGCTGCCCATCTTTCGCAGTGAACCACGGACAGCTCACGCTGAGGCCCGCTGCATAACTGAGGGATGAGAGAGGCAAGCGGGGGGGAAGTAGAGAACACCAAGAGAAGACTGGACATAAGGCGATGCCAGAACATGTCCGGCTAGCCCTCGCGGAGTCGGCGATCTGTGGGCAACGTGCGTGCCAAACCCAGCGCGAATGAATCGACGGGACGTAGCGAGTGCAAAGACAAGCAGAAGACTGGAGTCGGGGAGGAAAGAGAGCGGATGGCAACATAATTTCGCAATCATACCGCGTGGCATACGACCTTCTCGTTCTCCTCTTCTGCCGGACAAGTTTCGTGCTGCCTGCTGCTATTTCCCGGCTCCCCAGACCTGAGCAGCAACTCCCAGTGAGCCTCGCCCGTCCTCATGGCGAATGCGGAAGGCACCAACAGCACCTGCTGCAAGTGGCTGATTGCATACGTATGCGGTGTTCCAAACGTGACAGGGCCCTCTCCCGTCCGTTTGGCACGCATGTGGCATGTGCACAACAAACCACACAAGAGACTGGTATGGGAATCTCCCCTGCCCCATGCCTGCTCCAGATAGGTGCCGGGCCATGAAGATCTGAAAGGGGCCACCGTAGCGGTCGGGAAGAGCTGTGGCGCTGGAGGTGGTGGCTGTTCGCCCGTGGCTCGTTTCTGAATGCGTCCGCCCCTGTCCTTTCGAATGTGCGACCTTCCTGATCCTGACAGTGCGAGGAGATAGTGCGGACCCCGCTGTTGAAAATCATCAAAGCGCAACAAGGCCGAGGGGCCCTGGAAGAGTCGGGGAGAATCGCCTGCATCTGGATAGGGCCACTTGGCGCTCGAGCCAAGGCATTTTGCAAGCACGATGGGGATGTCTTCCCCAGGACGGCCGCAAGAAGCAGGACTCACTTGTGCGCATTAGTTTTCTCACTCATGGTCATGCCCTCACCGTCCTGAGCGTCCGACAACCCAAGAGGTCAAAACTATTGCCTCAAGAGTATCTCAAGAAGGCCCCGAGACAACCCCAAGACGGCCCAAGAGATCCCAAGAGGTCCCCGAGGCGGCCCAGACAGGTCCCTGCGAATGCAACGTTCTTCGGGAGCTCCAGCGGGCCCTCAAGAGGGCCCGACGAGCCTAAACAAAGCCCCCAAACATCCCCTATTACAGCCCTTGTGAGAACGAGTAGCGTCATTCGGAGGCATCCTGAAGCTCCCTTGCGGCTCCTTCGGGGCCAAGTGCGGCCATCTCACCGCCTGGTCGGTCTGCGCTCGTATCTGCATAATCCTCTGCATACGTGCCTCATGCTTCGCCCTTTCCTCCTCCCTCCCCCCGTCCCCCCCCCGCCCCTACCGCCTTCGCCACGAACCCTCCCGTTGATCACCTTTCTGCGCTCCCCCGTCCACCGCCTTCTGGGGGGGGGGGGGGGAGCCCCGCTGTGCCCTCCCAGCCTCGTCGCTGTCAGGACCTTCCAGGGCCCAGTAATCCCAAGCCCCAGAACCGTCTGGGGCACAGACGAGCAGGAGGGGCGGGTGGGCGGGCGGGAGGGGGTGAGGGGGATGGCAGCAGCCTTGGAGCGGGAGGGAGAGGGGGAAGGGGGGGCGGCGGGGAGGAAGGGACAGGCGGGGAAGAAGGAAGAGGCGGACGGGAGGGAGGGTTGGAGCATGGGGGGAAGGCAACCCGAGGAAAGCGCCGCGGTGTACAATAAGAAGGCTACACCAAGAATGAAACCTGGAGGGGAATAAGCGGTGAGGTGACAGGCAGGAGAGGGGACGAGAAAGGAGCGAGGCTCTTACTCCCTGCTGGCTGTGCCTGCTGTGAGATGGGCTGGGAGCTGTCAGCGCTGGACGATGCAAAAGAACCTTTAGGCGAGGCCATAAGCTTGCACTTTTCGTCTGCGGCGAGGCGGACGCGATCCGCACCAGCGTGGGGCCAAACGGAGGCACCGAACAGCGAATCGACCGGCGTGCAGGAGGAGGGGAAGGGGAAGAGGGAATGGCCGCGGGGCGCTCAGATGTGGAAGAGTTCCAGAGCCATATGCAGATATGGGGGAACGAACAATGACATAAACATAACAACTCGGAGGTCCGCGCGGATTTCTTGGATCCGCGCTGGACCCCCCTTCCTGGCGCGCGGTACGCGCCAGGGGCGGCGCCTGAGGCGCCGCCAGGGGGGATCCAGTGCCGGTCCAAGAAATCCGTGCGGACCTCCACGTTATGATGCTTATGTCACTGTTCGTTCCCCCACAGTGGAGACCCACGCCAAGAAACACCCTGATTGCCTCAAGGGTGCCCTGGTCTTCTTGGGTTTCGATGTTCCCACACCAAAAACCAATGGACGTCCTGGGGTCTCAGGGTTGGGTTCATTGTGGAAGGTTTCTTGTGGTCGGGCCCCTACTGTCCTACTGGGGAGGCCGAAAGGTACCGATACCACCACTCCCTGGACCTCTCCCGGGGCGCGTTCCGACAAGGACTTCGAGGCGCATCCAGCAGTGGCGACGAGGGCCTCCGAGGAGCCCCCCAAAAAATGGAAAACGGGAGCAGGGTACAGTAATCGGCCTGACCTAAGGAACGATCTATAAGGAACGTAGCCCCTTTTCATCTTCCAGGGAATAACGCATGAGTAACGAGAGATAACAGATAACGCAGCAAGAAACGACGAAGTAACGCACTCAAGCCTAAGGAACGACCAAGCCCCTTTTGAAACGCAAGTGTTCCTTATTCAAGCCGCTCACTGTAGAGGTAGGGGTACCCTTTCCTCCTCGGAACTAGACACCCACACCCGGAACGAACCCAATCCGCGCGGTAGACCCCCACGACGTGGCCCCACGGGGTCCGAGGGGGAGGCGCCCCCCGTGGCGCACGGCGTGCAGCAGCGTAGGGGGGCGGGCGGCGCGCTCTGCACCCGTGCGCCCTGCTCCCGCCAAGCTTCGGTGGCAACTCGCGGGAGCCTCCCACGCCATCTTGTCGGCTCCTGCGGACCGGCCGACGCTAGATCGACACTGAATCGGCACCAAGTCGACACTACGTCGACGCGGAATCGACGCGGAATCGACGCGGACCGACGCTACATCGGCGCATCCCATCTGCCTCCAGCCGCCAATCGACGCCAGTCGGCACCAAAGACAGAATTGCGCGAGGGTGCACCGGGCTCCCATGATGTGCCACCGAGCCAAGTGCACCGGCAGGCCCTCGGGGCCGGGCGGCCGCCTCTGCGCCGTGCAGGAAGGTCAGCTTCTGGTACTGCTCCGGAAACCGAGGGGAAGAGGCAACTGTTCACATGCGGCATCACGTCTTGTAGTACAGTGGAGGCCAGTTCACAGGAAACCTTCCACAAGAAACCAACCCCTGCGACCCCAGAACGTCCACCGATTTCTGGTGCGGGAGCGTCACGCTCTCCAGAGCAAGACCATCGAAACCCAAGAAACCAAGAGCACCCTGGAGGCAAGCAGAGTGTTTCTTGGCATGGGGCTCCACTGTACTGGCAGAGTTTTGTGACTGGGAGCTCAAACGAGGCCAGAGCAGCAACAACGTAAATCAAAAGATCCATGAGAGATGCTGCCACCAATGCGAACGGCAACTCACAATGTGTGGCGACAGCACCAGCAGTGCCTAGCGTAACAACGCTCCTGCTCGAAGAGTGTGCACAGGACTCGCCCAACGGACTCAACTACAACGGCCAAACCAAAAACATGCACCATGTAGTTCAGAATTACCGAAAGAGCCCGCACAGCTTACCTTGTATCAGCAGTAAGGCACAGACGTCTGTCTGGTGGAAGTTCTGCTCACAGGAATGCTACAACAATCTTCAGAAACGGTCTCTGTGAGTCAGAACGAAGTTGAGCGCGCGACGGACTCGCGGGACGGTAGTAGCGACACCAAGAACATCACGACTGACACCATAAAACACCAGTGCCACCGCCAACAGCATCAACAACACAAATCGTGAGCTTCCAACCTCAATGTTCTCGCATCGCGCATTGACACGATTCCGACGATATTGTATTTCGAGGCCAGTGTGTGTGTGTCCGTATCCACCGCCTGGGGATCCCATGCCCTGGGACCCTTGTGGGCGTTGGATACGGATATATGAGAGAGCGTGATCCACCGCCGCTTTACTGTGGAAAATTGCCAACCTTTTCCTCCGGAACCCGGGGGTCTCCCCCCCCCCTCCGAAAATCCCCCCCCCTGCTGGAACCCGTGCCCCCCCACCCCCCTCCCTCCCGGCAAAACCCCCCCCTCCCCTAACCCCTCCCCCCCCCCCCCTCCCCCTCGAAAACCGGGTGGGGTCACTACCGGTTCGAACCCCTCCCCCCCCCCCCCCCCCCCTCCGGATCCGGAAAACCGGGGGGGGTCACTAGGGGTTGGAACCCCCCCCCCCCCCCCTCGAAAACCGGAGGGGGGTCACTACCGGTTCGACCCCCCCCCACGCACCGCCAGCAAACGACTCCCGGTCCCTACCACCGCTCGCATGACATCCCCCACTGTTGTTCCCAGCACCACTGTCCTCACCACCACTGCCCCCGCTGGTTCCACCACCGTCCCTATTGTCCCCACCAGTGCCCCCACCACTGTCGCACTGTCCCCACTGTTCCCACAACTGTTCCCACCACGGTTCCACTCTCCCCACTGTCTCCACGGACCCAACCACTGCCTATCCCCACTGTCCCCACTGTCCCACTGACTCCTCCGCTGTCCCACTGAGCTGTCCCACTGTTCCCACCACTGTCCCCACTGTCCCCACCACTGTCCCCACTGTACCTCTGTCCCATTGTCCCACCGCCGTCCTCGCCGACGCCTTTACCAGTGTCCCCACCACCATTGTACCCTCCACTGTCCCAGTGTTTCCACCTCATTCCCACTGTCCCCACACCACTGTCCCCACCACCACCGTTCCCACCACTGTCCACTGTCCCCCCTGTTCCCACCATTGTCCCCACCACTGTCCCCACCACTACCCTCCCCACCGCTGTCCCACTGTCCCCCCACTGTCCCCACCACTGTCCCGCTGTCCCCTCACCACTGTCCCCACCAACACCGTCCCCACCACTGTCCGCACCCCCACTCGGTTTTCGAGGGGGGGGGGGGGTTCGAACCGGTAGTGACCCCCCCCCCTTTTCATGATGAGCTGGGGGGGGGGGAGGGGTTCGAACCGGTAGTGACCCCCCCCGGTTTTCCGGAGGGGGGGGGGGGGGAGGGGTTCGAACCGGTAGTGACCCCCCCCGGTTTTCCGCCAGGAGCGGTAGAACACGCTCTTTCGGATATATGGGCCTCCCAGAGGGCCCGAACAGATCTATATCCGCAGCCTGCCGATGTCCCCGAAGATCGATCGCACATTCGGCGGTCATGGATGATTCACCGTCTCGGAGACACCAATGCCACAACAAACAACAAAAGACCCGTGAGGCCTGACGTCGTAGCACACCGTCAGGCCAAGGCAGCCGGCAGGCGACTGGCAGGCGACCAATTCGGACCTCGGGCGCGCGGGCTGCTCACGAGCAGGATCACCGCGATAATTACCCTGCGCCGTTCCCTCTCTCGCTGTTCACCTGCAACTAAAACCCCCCGACGCCGCGGGCTGGCAACCCGAAGCCAAAATACAAATCACTTCACGAAAGAACTCCCGCGCCCAAGCGTACGATGTGTATCCCCAAGGGCCACAGATACCCCCCCCGAAACCCAAGCCCAAACCATCGAGTATCGCAGAACGACACTGCAGAATCACATTCTAACGCTCGCGACACTCAATCAAAAGCCAGGACATGCCTCGGATTGACCTGTTGAACAAGAGAAAGGGCAATGAAATTGCAGCGAGCATGGGGCAGGTCAAAGCTGACGGTCAGCCTGGACACATGCCATTAGCCATATTGAACCAAAGCCACTTTTCAGTCGCAATTGTGATGTGCAAGCAGTGGGTTCCAGATGCCTCTGGAACGTCTGGAGAGCATGCGCCCCAAATCTATCGATCGTCGGCTGCCCATGTCTCTCAAAACTAACCGTTCGATCCTGACGAGTGCGATCCGTCCTCTTGTTTCAACAGTCT